TTTTTTTTCCTCTCTCATGTCGAGAGTAGTGCAGCGAGACCCTTTCTCTCTCTCTTTGTCTCTCTCTCTCTCTCACACACACACACACCCTCGCACACACACACACACACACACACACACACACACACACACACACACACTGGCGGAATGGATGAAGAATCAAGACGAAGCGAGAAGTGCGATTTCGTGAGGGTGGGGCCAGCAGAGGTTCTGTTGAAGGAACGCGGGCGGGTTGGGGGGGGGTGAGAGGATGGGGGAGAAAACTGTCACGTGGCAGATCTGCAGCTCGATAATGATTCTTTTACACAACCTTCTGCCACGTGGCAGATTAGCAGCTCGATAATATTTGTAGTCCTCTGCCACGTGACAGAATCAACTCGATTATGCTTGTTGTCCTCGCCCATTTCTCCATGGATCGGAGGGACGTTAGTCCTCCAGTTCAGATTACATACGCCCTGAACTATTACTGTGACATGTCGTTTGCGGATACTTCATGCAAAGTCACTGTCGCACTCAATTCCGTTGACGGCTCTGACGTCTCCCTTGCCGTCGTCATTCCCTCTCCCGGCACGGGCTATGCCAGACATCTGAGCTGCCCTACTCAAAAGACGACGCTTGCAGAGGGGATCCCGTTTGGGAAACGGGGTAGAGGCAACTCTTTCTCTCTCTGTCTGGCGGGAGATTCATTCGATTTTGCTCCTCCTTTCGGTGGAAGACCAGGAGGCCAGGCGTGAGATTGGAAAATTACCTGTTCTCTCTCTCTCTCTCTCTCTCTCTCTCTTCGGATACACAATAAGTTCATCTCTCTCTCTCTCTCTCTCTCACACACACACACACACACACACACACACACACACACACACGTATGAAACCGTCACATATAATGAAGTCGATTTCAGAACGACTAGCTGAACAGGTTTAGCTTCAGGCAGATTGGTCCAGGCTGATGGAACGGTTCCAAGCTGTGCCCTGCCTCAGCTAAGCTGTGCCGTACTTCAATGCAAAGATAGATTGTGCCCGTTCCATCAGCCTGGGCCATAAGGTGTACCATAGCTGGGACTATAGTCTGGACCATAGCTGGGACCAAGATAGCGGGAGTCCACGCAAGCGGTAGAGCGTGCGTGCGAGAGAGAGAGAGAGAGAGAGAGAGAGAGAGAGAGAGAGAGAGAGAGAGAGAGAGAGAGAGAGAGAGAGACACTACCACGACTCTCGTCAGTGATGGCTATGGCTACCTTCAAAGCTCACGGAGCACGTGCGCACAGGGTGTATGACCACAAGAACAACGCTCACTGCAGCAGTAGACAGGTCGCTGACATCTTCGCATCGCTTCACATGGCCAAGAAATCGTGGCAATGTCAATGCCCGGCGCCGGGATACCGTGCGCTGCTCTTGCACCGTGCTACAGACCCTCTAGTCCACCACGGACGAAATGCACAAGCACTCACACATGCCCTCACTTCTTTTTGGGGTCCGCTTCTACCCGGGGACCGGTCCAACGCCCCCCACTTCGTTTTGGGGTCCACTTCCACCCGAGGACCGGTCCTTCCTTTTTCCAAAAGTCCCAGTTCTAGAAGAGCTAGCTGTAGGTAGTCCGCAATTTTGCCAAGGACCGGTCCCCCAATTTTTTTTGCCCCCTAAGAACCCACTTTGCGTCCTGCTTCCCCGCCACCGAAAATGCGACACCTTGACACAGACGCGGAAGCACACTATACCGCAGCCTTAGGGCTGCGAATAACAGTTTTAAACCACCAGTACCTGGCCCAGCTATCGGACGCGGCGCTTTCCGTATACGCGCCGCGTCGGGAGGGGCACCCACCTTGCAACGACCTGTACCGCCCAAAAGTCGGAATAAAAAACGGAACAAAAA